GCAGCGCGCGGGGCCCCCAAACATCGTCCCGGCTGGCTGGCACCGCCGGCCCGGCCGCCAGAGCCCGCTCACACACCTGTCGACAACTCATCTCAAAGTTTCGGCATGCGCTGGCAATGATTCAAGCTGTCAAATATTGCGCCGACGAGACTGACAGCGCGGTGGGTCGGTTGGGAAATCCTCGGGAATCGGCGCGCGCCTGTCGGTTCTGATCGGCGGCCAGCGCGGGGGGTGGCGCGTCCAACGCCGGAAATACTTCCCACAGCGCGGCGCACCACCACCGCTTTCACCTCAGAACATATTATATCTTCGACAATTACAGCTGCCAGACCACGAATGGAGCGTACAGATAAAACTGATTACTGAGCGCCGTATAATAATGTTGTGTGCGCCAAGGACAAAGAAAGCGGTCCGTCGTAATGTCAGTAATCGTCACTGGCCGCCGACCTAATGCCCGCCTACATCCGTCCATAAAATAATTCATGTATTTCTGGAACCCATTAAAGCACGGAGCCTATCAAGTCGGGTCGTAAACGACGACGATGCGGTGATTTCGGAGAACACACCGCCATTACGGCTGTATATACATATATATAACTATATTCCCTCGGTGGGCAGACGGAGGCAATTCATGAGAAACATCTCATAAAGCAGACGTCCCGGAATCACCGCGAGCTCAGACGGCGAGCTCAGGCCGCGAGCTCAGACGGCGACTGAGCCGGCCGCCGAGTCGGAGAGGCTTCTCCCTTGCACGTCCCATCTGAGTACCAACATCAGAGACAGCACATCTGAGGAACAGCATCAGCGGCAGCCTCATGTGAGCACCAGACTCCACCGTCCCACAGAGATGGAGGGGACGCGTCTCCTTCATCTCAGCGCAACATCATCTGAGCACCACCACCATGTGGCATCCTCATCTGAGGCCATCACCCCCATCAACCTCATCTGAGCACCAGCACTACCCGCACCCCGCTACCAGCACCAACACCATCCTGTCACCAGGGACAGGCCCACACCACCACCGTCAGCCGCACCGCCGCCGCAGCAGCGGCAGCAGCAGCGGTCGCGGGACGCGTAAACCCGGGCTGCGTTTTGAACGGCGCAGCCGCCGCCGGCTGGTAGGTAGTTTCGCACCTAATGCGATTTGCTGTGGGCGTCTTAGACAGGCAAAATGGCCGCCGCACCGGCTCCTCCGCCGCCGGAACACACAGTCCAGTGACAACAAAAGGGTGGGGGCGAGCTTGGGGGGGGGGGGCGCCCACCCGGCTCAGCGCCGATAATAATAAGGGGCTGGTGCGTGCGGCGCACCCGCCCGACCAGTCAGCCCGCCTGGCCGCGCCGGAATGTCGGCCCGCTTATAAAATAAACAACCTCCCATATATTATTTGAAAGGGCCGACCGGCTGCGAGCATAAAGGAAAATATGAGACCGTCTGACGTCGAAATAACATGTGGCAGAAAAACAGGAGGTAAGCGACCGGATGCAAAACAAACCTCACAATGTTGGCCGGCCGAATACCGATGACGAAGCCAGGGGAGAGAGGAGTGAAGGTGGGGAGAGGAGTGGAGGAGGGGAGAGAGCGAGAGAGCGTTCTTTGTCGGAGACAAGTAGTGGCAATCTTCTCGGGAGGACGCTGACCCCAGCAGATGGCCTCTTCAGCGGGACGCGGGCACCGGGACTTCAGGGGACCTTCCATCAGAGTATGGGACCTCAGTGGAAGGAGGACTCGGAGTCAACGTGCTGGAGCCAAAGGTGACCCAATATTGCCGAGGGCGCACCGCCCACTGGCATAGAATCAGCGTCAGGGGTCCAGGAAGGATCCTGACGGAAACGGAAAAAAGATACCAGAGAGCGATACCAGGGAGAGATTGTGAGTGCCAACGTGTAAGGTACCTGCTAAGAACAGCACATAATTAATTACTCATTTGAATCTGTATTAACTGTAGGGCTGTATCGCTTATCGGTGGGACCATGGCTAAGAAGAGAAGATTCAACGAAATGGTTTACGTCCCTCAACGGCATCCCACCACAATAAAAAGACGGCCAGAAAATGTCATGCTATTTATCTGCTTCGCTAGATCACTAAATATAATGACCAGTATAATGAACTGAACCGGTCTGGTAGCATTTCCCAAAAATGCATTTACCTAATGGCAGCCAGGATTACGTTACACGTTACCTACCTTTATATCAAATAAAAAGGTCAGCATTCCGAATTTTGCACAAGAGCGCAATGGCAAATAAAGAAAACAACTGGCTAGGGCGAATTAGGACAAAGGGGCATCCTAGCTTCAATTCATGCTTCGCTGTTCATTCCCAAGAAGATCTAGTCTAGCATGGTCTGTTCCCAAGGCAACTACCGGATTAGTCATCCATTTAAATTGCTTTATGTGGCAGTTGCCTGATAAGGCGCAACAGAGGCATTACCCTATTATCTGGATAAGTTACTAATAAATAAATGAGCCATACCGTTATATGACTTATAATTTATGCTGCAAAATGAACTGCTCCCCAATAATACCTATGTGGCCAAAAGAAGTAATTCCTTCCACACTTAATAACCAACATCACAATTTATAGCCACCCTCCCACCCATGAGGCACTGGTTTGAACCAGACTACACAGTTCATTCTGTCTGGTGTAACACGAGGATGTCAAACTTCTTGGCACCAGCAGGACGTATGTGAGGCTGTCAGACGTCATTGTGTGAATTCGATGGGGTTCTGGCACCGCAGACAATGAATCAGTCGCCGGCGCGAAGAATGCTGCCGGAGGGCACACAGCAGAGGGAGGGTGCAGAGATAGGGCCGTGACAGGGACCAGACCCGCCGACCAGCCGCCCCGGCCCGCTACCTCAGCCGCGGCTCACACATGTGGTCTGGCAGCGACAACAGTCAGTCACACCGCAGGCCAATATAACACCCGGCACATCAGCCACTCGATATGAGATAGGGTTTCAAAGGTCGAGACCATAAAAACTTTCTCGAAATGGTCTACATGCATAAGCAAGTTGATGACGCTCCGCGGCAAGATCTGCATATTTCATATGTGGTAGACTGGCTTGTATAAGCTCCGGGAAACATGAATTAAATAAGTAAATTTATGCCATCAAATATGCATATGCAAAGGCTGTCGGTTTGGGGATTAGGTGATGAGGGGCCGGGTGTGTGTGCAGATTGGCTGAGTGGTTCTGTGTTTCCATATGTGCCCAACCGCGGCCGCAGGCCAGTGTGGCGGCTCTGCTCCGAACAGCCCGCATAGGTCTCACTTTCTTCCTATACTGCATAGCATCGCTGAATAAGAAGGCGCTTCGGTCGTATCGAACGTCCCATCAGTTTTACAGGAAAATGGTACATTGTTTTACTTTTGGTTGTCAGAGGATCAATACAGTAATCAATGGCTTTAGCTCAGTACACCTTTTGATAAAACTGGTTCAAGTCGTCTGCTCCACACTAACTGAACTCGAACGGAACATCAGGCACCAGTGCAAGTGGTCCATTCGGCGCATTAGTGGAGTCCGTTCAGAGGTCGACAAAATTCATGGACTTTCTCCGACCACCGACTAATTTTCTCCAGCATTTTCTTCGACGATTTTGATAGCAAGTGGCGGCGGAACACATTCAATTAAGGGGGGGGGGGGGCACCGCCGACTTTTGGTCCCATTCTTTCCATGCAACGTCCATAGGGCTAATGTTAAAATGCCAAAATCAAAGGGGGCACGGTGCCCCGGTGCCCCCCCCCCCGTTCCGCCGCCTATGTTGATAGCTAAATAATTGTGAGTTGTACGACGATTGACTGGGGGCGATATTGCTCAGGAAAACGATGTCTGCACTTCTGCAGTCATAATATTTTTACTCTCACGCTTACTTAAGTGTACTCCATAATGCTCAAATATCTTTGCCTTGCAATCAAAAGTATTAGGGGAGAGTGGTGCAGGAGGCCCCCCCTTAAGCTCAGTTACTATTTTTAGACAACTGATAATATTTAAGCGCTAACGTGTGCATGCGCTGTGAGCTTGCATCATTTTCCCATACATATTTGCATTCAAAATGAATCTAGGGGGTACACAAACCGTAAACTTTAACATTTTGGGAAAAGTTGCAAAAGGGCCTCTTACACTATGGGTATGGTAAGACGCCCCCCCCCCCCCCCTCGGGCGTTTTAAAAGTCAAGTCGACTTGTAAAAGACGCTTTGCGAACACAGCTGCAAGGCCTTTTATTTCGAAAAGCTAAGCAAATACGGTGTTATCGAAACCAATAACACTTCCAAAGCGCTCGAACCATGCGAAAACTAGCACAACCAAACGCTGATGACCAACGAAAATTGTACCTATAACCTCTAAGAAAAGAAACAGAAAAAAGAAACAAAAACAAACTCCTTGAAAAAAGAATGCCACGCCTGCCGCAGGTGCAGGTTTTAGCATCGGGGGCGTTTTTTTATCGGGGGGCGTTTTATCATCCTCGAAAGGAGGGCCTCTTAAAAAAATACAGTGTTTTAACGTCCACAATATTTATGGTTTATTAGACATTTGCAGCGCACCAGAACATGGTCTATTCTGAAGCTAACATGTGACAATTTCGATGAGAAAAGATTGCATTTGATAGCCATTGTTTTTTCAGATATATAAGGGTGATAAAGATGCATATATCTAGCAAGTAAAGGGGCAAAAACAGAAACAGGCTTACCAAAAGTCGCTGCGACGCACCTGATACCTCAGGTTTCGTGAGTTGTTGTTTCAAGAGGGCTTCTGCTTTACAAGAACATTAAAAAATAAATAACATTATTGGTTTGGTAAAAAAAGCGATGGGGCCTCTTACCGACCCTGGGCGTCTTACACGGATCTCCCCTAACTGACTTTGTAACCGCAAAGTAACTTTTCGAACACACTACCTACTTAAAAATAATGATATTTGTTTCATGAAAACCTTCGTATCTTAATGGTTGAAAATGACAGTGACACGCTAAAAATAGATGCCTACTATCAGATTAAAAAAGGGACTTTAAGACATTGTCTATTCATATCGGTACAATTTTTTGGGTACAATAAACATATCCTGCAATGCATTACCTCAGCCAGTTCTAAAGCAATGTCTCACACGTGCTCAAACTTGGTGCACCTTCGCAGTTCACAGATGATCTTCAAAGATCAAACTACATTCACTTAAACCGTTTTCCCCTCCGTGAAGGTGTTTGGAAATCAATCACCTATTTGAAGGACGTAACGTAAGAAAAAAAACAGCAACAACAAAACAAAGAACAATCATGCTCAATTGCTCAGTCGACTCAATAGTCATTTTTTGACAGAATCACAAACAGTTCTCATGGCGCACATCAAATCATATTTACATAGACCACTACCATCGTCTTTTTTGCTGCAGTAATCGACGACGAATTGACGCAGGACATTTCAGCATAATGACGAAACTTCTCTAAAGGACTACATAGATAAGGATTTTTTTAAGTAACAAGCTAATGAGGAAATTACTTAACAGGAAATCGATCGAGTCGGAACCTTCAAATTGTATTTACACAGCTTCGTCAGAGTCTCGCACTTGGGTTCGCGGGGGCGGGGGGAGGATATCAGTTACAAATTTTAGGACAATTTGCAAGGACGATTCCATTCAGAAATTGCATTCAATTTTGCGACGGTACCTACCTCCAAACTCGATTTCAATCAGCTGGAGAAGTTTTGTAAATACGATTCCAAAGCTCTGACCCGAACGATTTGCTGCGGGGTAAAGTCTTAATTAGCGTGTTACTTGTAATAAAAAACTATATTTTCAGACTCTACGGCTCACTCTATATATACACTTCATAGCTGGAAGATGTCCCACTGGGCCCTGTTCCGCTCGCGATTCCTCAGCATCGCCCCCAGACGTTGGCTCTCTGCCTGAGTCCTAAAATCGAACTGGTACTGACCCTGCACCGCCGCCAACAATGACTTCGCGTTGCCCTCTTGTGGACCATTCCAGCGGATCACAAGTTCCTTCGAAGCATTCTCATGTTTTAACATCCGGTGTGTCCCGAACACCGACTTTAGCACACTCGACATGCTTTCGACTACACTTTCCACAGGACATATCAGCCACAGTCGCTTTACAAGGTCGATGTAGTCTCTGAGGAGTGGTCTTTCATCTCGTGCAGCCCACAGCGCCTTGAGTAGGTCTTGGCTGGTGGGTTGTTCACTGCAGGACACGGTGCGCAACACCGTGAGGGTTTCCAGCACCGAACTCTCCGACGGCATGCTACTGTGAGGGATAAAGCCGGCCTTCCTCAGGATGCGGATACTGGCGAGCACTTCGCTCACCTGGTCGCGAAGTACCCTCTTGCTGCGCCTGAGGAGCACGAGGTCGGCGACCCCTCTCACGTGCAGCATGTGATCCAGCAGCCGATGGTTGTCCGCCTTGGACGATGAGCCTGAAGATCCCATGCGTCTCAAGCGGAGGTTTTGGAGCAGAGTCGAGCCGAACTGCTGGATGAGAGCCGCCTTGAAAGAGAATGCAAAATAGGACAATGTCAGAACAGTGTATCTTTATTGGATACGAAGTGCCTAAATGAACAGTAAGCAGGTTATGAGGTATAAGTTATAATTTAACCGTAACCTAACAAAAATATGCGTTTAGACAAAGTCCAGGTTTATTGAGAAAAGCTGACACAAAATGTGAAGGAAGTGACCTGTAGCTCATCAAAGTAATGATCTGGCAATTAGCATGTCATAAAACATGCACAGGATGTTTCAAAGTGAGCCTCTTTCAAAGTGAAATAATTGAGCATGTATTTAGTTAGGCAAAAGGTATCACACCTATCGGCAGTATTGATAAGTTCCGTCGTCATCGCCCTCCTGTTGATGTAATCATATGCAGCATTTTACACCAGTAATACAATTCTCTCGCTGGTAGGTCGGCCAACCGGCGAGAAAATAGCCCCTTCGTGAGGTATATTTGCAAGAAAGCTCAACATTTGCTTATGAGTTGTACCAAAATGCTAAAAAAAAATATTGCGTGATACCATATCTATGTGAATACGCTAGGCATAAACGAACACATTTGCCAGTGCATTATTTACCAATTTCTTTTTACAGTGTAGTCACCAGTCATTTTTCCAACGAGATATTTTTTCCTCAATGGGATAATAAGAAACTGTGGTGGACATATTTAAATGTTCACTACGCAAAAATCATTGAGTTATTGGTTGTTGACTTGCCACAGTGACTTTATACCATGCATATTGAACATACGTCCTTACCTGTTCCAAAAACTGAGCTTTGTATGCAGAGGCGAGGGGCCACTGCTCCTCCAGGTTCGCTTGGTGGATGGCCTGCTGGACGGGTGACTGCGACTCGGCGCTGCCCCCTTTCAGGACGTCCAACATGACGTCCAGGTTCAGGAGGGTTTGTCCGAAGGCAGCACTGAGCTCCCACGGCAGCTTCCCGGTGTTCTGTTGGTCGCGGCTGCCTTTGCCGAGAACAGCGTAGATATCGCACAGCGCAGCGATCCTGGCCAGGAACTTCTTATCTGTGAAAAGAATGGAAAGTGCCTGTTGTAACAAATATAGGAATTGCAAAAAAATATGACGATTTAAAAACTTAATTCAAAAGCGGTTTTTAAACAGCGAAACGCTCGCAACCTCAGGAACTGAATTGCTCTGTGCAATTTATAGGCGAACATAGAAGATAGAAGCACGTTTACAACAATTATTCGATGTTGATTATAGTTTTGACAGGGATATGAGATGAAAGCAATTACCAATACTTACTTAACTAAACATTAAAAAATACAAACCTCGAAGCAGTCGGATGGCCTCATCAGTAGCCTGACTCCTCTCTCTTCGATGATAGAGCGCATCCATCATGAACGTGATGTTGTCCAGGAACGATTTGAAAACATCCAGAGCGTGTGCGGCAAACCTCGTCTCCGACCATTTCTTCAGCGTCTTTGGTTTTCCGGGAATGTCAGAGGTCATGAGGGCCTCGAAGCCAGAGCCATATCTAAAGAGCTGGCTGACGCTGTCCATGTCCTGGATGGCTTTCCTCACCCACTTGGAGGAGCTTCTGGCGTTTTTCTCCGCCAAGCTCATCAGGTGGCTTGGATCCCACACGGCAGGGATGGTGAAGTCTTCAGCACCTTCAGTGTGCAGGGCTCGTGCCAGCTTCTTGGGCACGCTCAGGTGATGGTATTGTCCATCGCCGCCGAAAGCCGATATTTGTGTGGGCCTGTTTACGCTTACTCTCCCCAAGCTTTCCTTGAGCTCGGCAGCAAGCCCATCTCCATCGTGAGATTCGACGACAGGGGCTGCAACGACAAAGTTTTTCAGCATGGCATCTGATGGAGCGTCGGGAAGAACAAGGTTGATGGCCGTGATGTCCACCGTTCTATTATGCAGGGTCACTTTGTCCGCCATCACAGCCACACATGGTTCCTTTTCGACAATGGCGGCCAGCTTATCCAAAATGACATCATGGAGAGCGTCTCGCGCCTTGCACATCATCCTGGTGCTGTGGTTTTTATCACCAACGTCGACCCCACAATCCTTGAGCATCATGATGAGCCGCTCAAAGGACAGGTGGGACGCCGACTCCATGATGGTGTGGTACGCCGCGCGTAGCACCCGCTCAGCAATGGCACTCCTGTGGGAGATGAGCCGCTCCTGCTGAGCATTCTCCCTGTCCACCTGGCGTGCTTGCATGATATGGCTCGTGGACTCGAAATGCGCAGACACAGTGGTTTTCAAGCTTTTGAATTTTTGGTGCATCTTCTTCCCCACAGGAAAATTCACACCACAGCTGAAGTCATATTTGAAGGTTCCAGCAGCTCGTTTTGGAGCCTTGTCTACTGCCGGAACACACAGGTCGCAAAAGAGCATGTTTCTTTCAGGCAAACTGACCAGATGTCCATCTGCTGCAGCCTTCAGTGTGCTGATGCTGCGACAAGCACGGAACAGCGTGTCTGCGACTTCAGTTTGGAGCTCCCCAGTTTGCTGACCTGACCTTTGGCCGTTAGACTGACTTTTTTGGATAAGTACGTCCAGCTTACGTTGCATATCCGAAATGGCATCAGAATTCTTACCCACAGCACACACAAGCTCCTTGTGCAGATCCAGACTTCGCCCGCCTGCTGCTGGCTCCGCGGAAGCGCCGACAGTCGCCGGCCCCTGACGCGGGGCTGACGAGGGCTCATCATCCATCTCCGCTGCTGACTCCGCGGAAGCGCCGACAGTCGCCGGCCCCTGACGCGGGGCTGAAGAGGGCTCACCATCCATCTCCGCTGCTGGCTCCGCTGAAGCGTCTGCTGTCGCCGGCCCCTGAAGCGGGGCTGACGAGGGCTCATCATCCATCTCCGCTGCTGACTCCGCGGAAGCGCCGACAGTCGCCGGCCCCTGACGCGGGGCTGAAGAGGGCTCACCATCCATCTCCGCTGCTGGCTCCGCTGAAGCGTCTGCTGTCGCCGGCCCCTGACGCGGGGCTGACGAGGGCTCATCATCCATCTCCGCTGCTGACTCCGCGGAAGCGCCGACAGTCGCCGGCTCCTGACGCGGGGCTGCCAAACACACAATTTGTACTATATTGAGGATCCCATGAAAAGTACAGTACTATACCTAACTTCTAATGACTTTTCCTCTCTTTCTCTCCCTTCCTCCATCCCCCTCTTTCTCTTTCTCTCTCTCTCTCTCTCTCTCTCTCTTTCTTTATCTCTCTGTTTCTCTAACACTCTATCCCTCTCTCTGTCTCTATCCATCTGGAAGGGTAGAAAGTAAAATCTACAAATAGTAGGACAGGACTAGGAACTAAGAACAGGGCAGGACAGATGGATGGAAAACAGAAGAAAGGCATGGGAGCTATCTCCCAGGATAGAGCTGGACACATGAAATAAAAAGGCAGATAACAGGACAATACATATGCCAAAAGATGACACACAACTTAGCAGTGAATAAGACAGGGAAAAGAGGAAGATAGGGTAAGACACAGAACAGCGCAAGGAACATGACAGGACAGGGCAGGGCACAACAGGTGCAGGGCATGGCTTGACACAGCAAATGATAATGCTGAGAACAGATAATGATCAGCAATACACAAGAGGACACAGGATGGAAGAGCACAGGTCAGGGCAGATGACAGGGCAGGGCAGAGCACAGGGCAAGACAAGTAGCAGGACAGTGCATAGGACAACACAGTAGAGGTGCAGACAGGGTAGGGCATAGGACAGTGAGTAGGCAGGGTGGTGCACAGAGCAGGAAAAGGCATGGGACTGGACAGGACATAGGAAATGGCAGGAAATAGTGCAAGGCATGGGCAGGACAGGACTTAGGGCAGAGCATTAGGACAGCATACAAGGCAAGACACATAATAGGGCACGTCATGGCATGGTGCATGATAGGGCACAGTGCAGTGCAAGGCATGTGCCGGAATAGGTGATAGAAAAACCAATGTCATGGTCAGTACAAGGCATGGGGCAGGATGAGGCTCAGGGCAGAGCACAGGAGAGGGCACAAGAAAAGGCACAATGCAGGACAGGGTACAGGGCAAGGTACATGACAGGACAGGACACAGGGCACATAATAAGGCACAGAACAGAGCAAAGAGCAGGGTACAGGGCAGGGATACAGTGGATTAAATTAGCAGGGGCTACGTCACTAGGATAGGCCCTGGCAGCATGGCACCCCAAAATGAATTTTTTACATTTTTACAAGCTCCGTTTTTCAGATTTATTTTAACTCGTATATATTCATTTTTTTCTGTATAATCTTTTTAACTATATTTATCATAATAATTACCCACTGTTTACTCTGCATTGTGTGCCTGTATGTCATTGTCTATCATGTACAATGTTAGCTTGACTATGCCTGTCAGTGGGGTCTGCCCTGTTGGTGATTGCTTGAATGAATAAATAAATAAATAATAAATAAATAAATAAATGATTAAAACGGGATGGGATTATGGGAAAGTAAAAATCCTAGAAAACCAATGTTTTTCAGTCATAAGACAGGTGTACTCCTCTACCAATGCCAATCTGTACATATGGGCCCAGATGTATCTGTTAAATTTGTGCAAAAGTTTGTGTAACTAAGGTGTCAAACAGGCATCAAATAGATCAGTAAGCATTTGGTTAGGTTACATCCATTTTGCTTGCTTTAAAATGCCTTTAAATGAAATTACGTGTCAATTGTGATGTAAATATGACATTTGCTGCACAGAGGTACAGGAATTTTAGTCAGACAAGAGAAGGTTTTGCCAGGTTAGCAAGTACCTAATAATACATTTTCTTTACCAAATTTACTTTTCTGAATATGTGACTTGAACTTTTACATTGTGAGCAATGCGCCAAGTCAGTCAAAGGAATATGTATTACAAAGCAGCTGTGTTGAATAAATTGACTATTATTTATAGACAAAAAATACTGATTTTTAGCCTCACAAAATTCAAATTTACTTGGCCCTGCTAAACAACTTAAACTAAAATAGGTTACCTCGTTAAGCGAAAGGCGTTGATGATCTCACCTGGATTCTGCATTGTTGTTGGAGCCTTCAATCTTCCATTAAATCCAATCTCACTATTCTTCAAAGGAACCTCCTTTACCAGAGAAGATTTGTGCACAGCCTTGGTATGCTTAGCCAAGTTCTTTTTCATCATTTCTTTGCCACAATAGCCACATTGCACTCTTCTCAGACACGGATACATGCTTCCTCGTTTTCAGGGTCAATCACAGATCTCAAGAATGTGAAATTTGGATAACCACGCTAGTACATAACCCAAAACACTGGTATACAACAATCATACACAAATTGAAATGACCAAAATCTCATCAATTTGCACAAGTAGCAACAAATCAAAATGTAATCCACCTCATCTTGATCCGATCAATGAAGCCCCGTCACGCACATAACACACGCACGCCACAAAACGCACGAACATGGCGCATTTCCAACGCTTTCAATTACTTCCAAATCAGAAATTATCCATTTCTTGAGATTTTTTCCGCTATCTGAGGAAATTCCTCTGAATGTTTAATAAAAGTCACAAGAAACAGCGACTATTATTGATAATTCTCTACTATTATTTCTCTAGCATGTATAGTTTGGCAGCTGGAGAAAACAATGGGCTCCACAAAAACCCCACTTTCTCCGACTGCCGATAAGGGTGATACTTGTTTATGAAATGGTAGGGAAAAAGACCAAATGAGCACAGAATTGCTCCTGACTGGTTCAGATCAACTCTGACTTCTCCTTGGACTTGGAAGAAAGTGGAGAGAAAGTGGAAAATTGCGATCACTAAATTGTTAGTCATGCTTTTTAAGTGATGGACACATAATCTATGGCATTCATGAAAGTAACAATGTTGGCCTTGCTAGTCGTAGAATGTGTTCTATGATATTTTCTCCTTTTTTGAGATTTTGCTTGATCATTTTTCTCTGACTAGAGTCAGGTGGTCGGAGGTTTTGTCGACCTCTGAGTCCGTTGCTCACAAAGGCGTGCACAGAGCACCAGTCCCTCAGCGACGGACCGGTATCCGAGCGCCTCTGGCACGACCACGGCAATGGCACGGCGACCAAAGGTAGGTCGATTGGTCATCGACTGCCATTATACCGACCGGCCGGCCGGCCTCTTTACATATGCTACTATTTGCATTTCCTTGCGGTAGTATATGCAAACAGCTAGAGCGCTGACAAACAAAACGTGCCCCATAACTCGGAGAGACGTCTGCGCAAAGCTAAAGGTCAAAGGTATATGACCACAGGTCGTTGACCTAGGGATATGCTAATTGTTAGGGTCATCAAGCGTCTTCATAAGCGAGGGGTGGATAAGAGAAATCAAAGGAAAAGGCATTGAACCATTGCACCCACATGTGCTCGTGATGACCATAGTCCATACGTATATCTTCTCAAAGTCAAGTACTTTCGCAATACCTATAATCCTTGTATGTATGTCCTATAGACGATATAGGGCATGGATGGGCAGCCACATATGCGTCCATGACGTATTGTATGCTCCTAAATATAAGGATGACATGCTGGATGAGGAATATGTCATGAAAGGCTATTATTGCACGACATGTGCATGGCAATATGCCGTAAATTTCATCAATAAGCATCACTCGTTATCTGGAAATTCCTTTTTCTTGAAGTTTTTCTTTATCTGAGGGTCACATGATAAAATATCTCGGTCCAGACTGGCAATCAGTCTGATCCAGTCACAGTCCGGTCTGGACAGACTGCAGAGTCTGTCCGTGCCGGTAGACTGTCCTGACCGCCACACGGAGCTGGCTGGGCGGACTTGAAGCCAGCTGCGCGCGGTGACATCAGCCCAGGTCAACAATTGCAGCCGGCGCCGCTCCTCCCAGCCGTGAATAAGACTGCATCAACACCGTGAATCACTCGTCGCCGAGGCCGGGCTCGGACCCCGCACCACGCTTCCATTCTGGGACCGGCGCTGCAGGAAAATCCCCGTGATACCGCTCGGAGCAGATCTGTCATCAGGTGCAGGGTCAGTTGGGACCGGTTCACGCACTGGCCGCGCCGCCGGAATGTGGCCGAGTTCCCCGTGCGTCGTCCGGACGGCACCAGCCGCCTCCCCGTGCACACTGTATCCGACATACACCAGCGCCAGACGTCTATCACTATCCCGACGGATGATAACGTGTGCCACCCACTGATTAGCACACAGCTTACTGTTGCTCGGTGGCAGCGAATCCTCACCGCAGGATATTTGGCAGGGCCTATTTTAAGACGGACTTAGCGGCAGCTCCGTGCGGTTAGTGCATTCCTTCACGGACTGGTCGCATCAAGACGGTGCTGAGGTAGGCACGGCCAAAACGGCACCACGTCGAGAAAAAAAAAAACGACAAAACTCGCCCCGAACAATTGCGCAATTAAAGCCCATGCTAACGAAAAACAATACTTAGAACGTGAACACTGAACATCTATAGAAACCTGCCAAGGACAGCGGGTTCGAGAGGTTTTACTGACAATCTAAAAACACGTTTACCGTCGTTAAAATAAAATTCACCCGAGACTGCCTGATGTGACAAGTTTCTGGCTTTTTCTCAGATACCTACACCGAGGTGTAGGCATTACATAAGACCTATTCATAGTCTAATATTCAAATCTTAATAAACATTTGTACGTACTTCTATATTCTGTCAGGTCAAGACAGACACCACAAACCGTAAACGATTCACAGTGCTCACTTCGGAGAAGTCTCTTGTTATCTATGCTGATATGGTTCATGGTGCGCATAATCACCGCATCCACTGAGGGAAAAAACGGGGCCCATGTTGATAAGAGTTCACGAAAATCAAAAATCCGCGAGTTTTTCCATTAGCTATACACTCTAGCTTGGCATGTCATCTGACTGAGGTGGGGATGAAGGAAGGGAGTCTGCATCGGAGGGAGGGGCGATGGGGAGGATCCCATCCCCCAGCACGCCTCTGACGTCATGTGCTCACCAGCGGCGGCGGCGGCAAAAGTTGCGCGCACCACTGCCCAGAAGTGACCTTTATGACCGTAGTTGCCGCCGCCGCGGATTCACTTTTGGCACAGTTCTTAAATTTATCATCAGATATATAAGCGGCCTGTCTGGAAATCGATAGTATCGCGGAAAAGGCGCGCTGCGCAGGCGTGTTCTTCATCACCGAACGCATTTGCCTACGGCATGATGTTGAAAGTTTCAAACATGTGAAGTAATGAGGGAAGCTTCAACGGCACGTAGCTTGGCACGTTCAGAGCGGCGGTTGCAGTTGACGTAACAGAATATCATATACCTACCTACCCACATCCCATCTAAAATACTGACAGCCAGTTGACTTTTACGGCTGGGGCCTGAATACGTTTTATACTGTTTGTTCACTCATTTATCAAAAAATCCATAATGAAAGCCGCGCCGGTCGATAAATCAATGGCAGTAGGCGCAGGCGCGCAAAAGCCACAATACATCCAGCACGTGATGGCTTCCAGGAACTGTCCGGCTCGCCGCCTCCTCAAGGCTTGTATTTCCTCAACAGCACATAATATAACTTATTAACAACCGTAAAGCCTTCCTGCATTCTACCACACACATCGCATTTGCATATTTTATCACTGAGGAGAAGTTCTCCTGGCCTTCTGCTGAGACGCTCGGACGTCCTTCATATTGCAGATTGCACACATTCCCACTGAACATAACACCGGCTGCCCAGGCCCGTCCTGAGCGCCCTACCTCTCACACACAGCCTCAATGCCCTGTTCCATCTTCACGCGTCGACGGCAGCCCGCCACGCCCTCCTCCCTGCCCGACCACTCTGCCCCCTCTTTCCCGAGTCTGCGCGCCATCAGCCAACCACGCCGAATATATTTTATTGAGCGGGCCCGGCCAGCCCGGCCAACGTGATTAGGTTATATAAATGTAAATTACAAATCAATACATAGTAAAATAAATGGAGCCGCGCCAGAGATGGCACGTCATATGGTGAGGCAGAGTGTACAGGGTGGGGCAGAGTACAGGAGCGGGCAGAGGCTGAGGAGGGAGGAGTATGAATGCAAGCATGGGGCAGTGTATTATATGGATGAAGACAGAGGGATGAGTATGAAATTGAGCGGAATATGGGTCGAGTTGAGGAAGTATGGACGAAAAGCAGAGGGCCCAATATGGACAAGCGGTTCAGATAGTGTCCTATGGTGGGACAATATGTCATGCAGCAGCCAGCAAGGCACACCCAGGGTGCAGACCGGCTGAGGTAAGCGCGTGAAGCGGCGCGCTCTGTGGCGGTGCGCGACGGGCGAGTCTCGAAAGACCCATACCAGCCGCCCGGCCAGCGCAGTCATACCTACTCCACCACCCAGAGAGCCAAACGACTCAATGCCCGGGGCAATCGTCACTGATTGCCAGCATTCATGCCAGCTCCTCGAATACCCTCTTCAATAAAACACAAAAACTCGGAAACATGCCATGAAAAGTGGATATAAAAAGGCGATAGACGCTGACCGCAGTAAAAACCGGATGATATTATATCCATGCCGGACTGGTTTATGATAACAAGAAGTTAAGATAATTACAGGGTAGGGCGGAGTATAGCTACAGAGCAGCAGCGACCACCAGCACGACGCTGGCCATGGCGTGCAGCCAGATACATACCTCTGGCGAACGGACACAGGTCTGTCTGCCCGTGTGTGTCTGATGGCCTGTCTATAGGTCAGAGTTTTGCAGATACATAGCGATGCAGCCAAATCATCGATAGAAAACAAGGATACGACTCGTAGTAATCTCAAACTACGATTTATAGCTGCAATTAAAAACTTTTGTCTTTACCAAAAAGTTATCGCGAATATCTAATAAAAATTTAGATGGGTACATGCAAAATGCATAATTGCAATGCTGATCCCACGTGGTATCAGCGGGTTGAGGATCAAGGGATTGATTGGCCCGGACCGGTGCCGCGCTAATAATTAGGACGCCAGCTGTCCGCCTGAAGGGGAGGGGAGGCAGGGAAGTATGGAAGGGGGCAGGGCGGCAGGTGACACCCGTATCATATGGTGGGGCATACCGTGCGGAGTGTCCGTGAAGCTTCACAGTCCGGCAGTCGAGCTCGGTCCCCGCGGCAGACGAGTGCCGTCGCGTCGGTAAGAAGGAAGGAAAGCAGGCTATCTACATAAATGCGTATGTTTCGTTGAAAGGACCTCTGTGGTCTCGCTGATCTGGCGCCGGACGCCACGGGGTCCAACTGTGCTGGTTGCTGAGGCTCCCCGCGCTGATGGACCCCAGGCTCGAACTGAGGGTCGGGGTTCCCCAGGTCGTGCCGACCTGGGGAAGGTGATAGTCCCGACTGCAGCACGAGAGCCGAGGTTCCGTCGGGTCACTGGCAGGCCGAGGAGGCAGTTACAGCGACTTCCATCCACCAAAGAATCCCAACTC